TATTTGGGGGAAAACCAGGTACTGTATAGTAATAAATAATACCTCAAACTAAAGTTAGGATAATATAATTGACATTGCTGAATTCCTTGTAAGACCAGGAATATTTTGAATATAAATGTCATATATTTTGCACAAAAGATAACATATTTACTCAGAGTAAACATTAGATCTAAAATTTGTATGTCTAATGCAAAATCTATGATGTTTATATTCAAAATGATCATCAAATTGTAAGAATTCAAGCAATGTAAATTATATTCTGGCCGGATAATTTGTATGAATTTTATGAGCTAAATAAAAAAAATTATACTTCACCCGCGTAAAGGGGTACACCCACCGCGGAATGTGAGCATCCTGGGTTCTAGCAGGGCACCATGTAAACGTGGAAACGCGGAACGTGGGACCGCGTAAAGTGAGGGTTGACTGTATTACCCCGCTTTACGCGGTTTCACTTAACGCAATTTCTCATATACGCGGTGCCTCGCCAGAACCGAACTTTCACTTAACGCGGTTCATCTACTCATATACGTGGTGAAGTATAATATATATTTTTTTTTTTAGCTCATAAAATTCATACAAATTACCCGGCCAGAATATAATTTACATTGCTGGAATTCTTACAATATGATGATCATTTTGAATATAAACATCATAGATTTTGCATTAGACATACAAATTTTAGATATAATGTTTACGCTGAGTAAATATGTTATCTTTTGTGCAAAATATATGACATTTATATTCAAAATATTCCTGGTCTTACAAGGAATCCAGTAATGTCAATTATATTATCCTAACTTTAGTTTGAGGTATTATTTATTAAAATCTAGTGGTTTTACCCCAAAAATTTCTCAGAGAGGGAAGAGCCAGCAGTGTAGTGTGAGAAGAGGGGGAGGGAGATGAGTCCATTATTTGAATGGACATTAACTTGGCGACTGTGTTTCTCTATTTCTCTTAAGTATTAATTGTGTGCATGTACCATCATAAAATTAAGATGTTATTTTTACTAGAACATAGGTATTGTGTCGGAAAAAGTAGAGTTTGGGGGTCGAGCCAGTCTCTATTGGAATTAATCCCATATGTTCTGTTGTTCACTTAACGCGGTACCCTGTGGGTTCAATTGACCGCGTAAAGCGGGGTACAACTGTACTTTATTTTTCTAGGGTATACAAACTAGGTTTATTACTTTTGAAGAATAATGGAAAAATTGACAGTGCACAATATAGAAAAAATGAAGGAATTCGTTGTACCTTTTTTAGTTTGTGAGAATTGTAGTACTGTTAAAGCTACCATACATGATATGTTTTTATTACACCAAAAAAGACAAATATTTAGATAATGTATATTGTGTAACCATACTACAGGTACAGTCTGTCCAAAAGTTGGTTAACTCCCACAGCCAGCTATTGCTACACTGCCTGCTTCAGATGTTTGAAACTGTCTCAGCACCAACCAGAACATGAAACCGAAAAAAAATGAATCTAAAGGTTCTAAGTAACAGACTCAAGTTCATACATCTAAAGCAGGCAGTGCAGCAATAGCTGGCTGGGGGGAGTTAACCAACTTTTGGGCGAGACTGTACTTTATTGATATATGTTTACAAACAGGTATTTCTGTGAAAGGACATGATGTGTAGTGATAACCTATTTACTTTTTTTCTATCACATTCTCAGTAATGTACAATTGTTTCTTTTTCAGCTCAGAAGAATAATGACAAAATTAGAAAGGCACAAAGCACAAAATATAAGGTGTCCACTCCTTTGTTAATCAAAAGGTTTAGACATGTATTCAATTTTGCATTTTATAAATGAAAGATTTTTATATTTAATTTTTTTATTTTATGCTGCCTACATTTGAAAAGTTTAGTTCCTATTTGTCTGTCTTTTTCAGAATTTTAATTGCCATAACATCCTGGCTCTAATTATTATAATTATTGTTTCTTATTATAGTAGTACCCCGATTTACGGTCAATTGAACCCATAGGGTACGCGGAAAGTGAAAGCTAGCGTAAAGTGAACAACAGAACATATGGGATTAATTCTAGAGACTGGCCCGACCCGAAACTCCACTTTTTCAGACAATTACTCGTTAGTAAAAATAACATCTTAATTTTATGATAACACACAATTAATAATTAAGAAGAAATATCATTAGGTTTTAACACTTACATTAGGAGAAAAAGATGGCTGGGCACATGGGTATGGGGGTTGGTTCTGAGGCAGAGGGCAGATTATTGGCCCTCACCTGTATCCTTGTATCAATTGTATCACTATCCAACATAGGCTTGCAGGGCCTCTTTGTCAAACCCTCAAGTCCATATCCTCACTATCATTATCACTATCACTGACTTGGGCGGCTGTGGGTGGGTGGCGGGTGAAAGAACTTCGGTAATGTTTTTTGATGACTGGGCAATGGCGCATCCTGCCGCGCCGTTTCCCAGCGTATATGAGTAGATGCACGCGTAAAGTGAAAGTCGGTTCTGGCGGAGGTACAGCGTAAATCTAAATCATGGAAAGTGAAACAGCGTTAAGCGAGGAATTACTGTATATTATTATATATTTTTATTCAATGTTTTATTAAAAACAATTTTATTAATTATTATTTATTATTAGTATTATATTTTCGTCCCGGGCCCCGATGTGGGCTGACCTGTGCCCTGGTGGGCTAATCCTGTAAAAAAAAAAAAAAAAACTCACAGATTGGTCTGGAGTGATAGTGGTGGAGGCGCTATGGGAGATGTGGCTATAGTGACGAATCTTGTGTTACTCAGGCTGGACCTCGCTAATCCTGGAAGCTTGGGATCGAGCCAGTTCGATTAGCGAAAATTCTGAATAAAATGTCACTGGCTCGACTTAGCAGAATATAACTTACATTGCTGTAATTCTTGTAAGATAGTGATCTATTTTAGTATAAACATACTATAGTTTGCACTAGACATATATTTTATTAAATTAATTTAGTAGAGTAAGTCCTGCGCTTAGTTCCCTCTTAACGTTGTTTCAGTACTACGTCGCTGAACTTAAGAGACCAAAAATTCGATTAACGTCCGGGATCCGATACTATGTCGTTTTTGTGTTGTCACCGACTACTTTCTCTGACATCACCGCTCTTGTCTGGGAGCTACGCTCTCTCCGCTCGGAGCGCTGCCCTCACTAAGCTTAACATCATAAGCGTCCCCAAGTGATGCCAAGCCAATCTCTGTTAGGACATCACATCATTTGTGTGAGCTTAAGTGCTTTTGCTCTAAAACTGTACTATAACCATTCAAAATGTCTTTCAAGCACCCATCAGGTGCCACTGATGCTAGTGTAGTGAAGAGGCAATGTAAGACCATTACCTGGCTACAAATGTATGTAATATTAACTTGAAAGGAGCGTGCTGTGGACATAGCCATTGTTGGTCTAACCCCCTGGCGGTGCGTATTATCGACAGCGCTGACAAGATTAAGGTTAGTGCTGGAAGTGGTTCTTCTCCTAGTGCTACTGTGATAAAGAAGGTGGAAAGGATGCTGGCAATGTGGATGGAGGACCAGAATCAGCATAATGCCTGTGAGCCTTGATTTATCCAGCATAAGGCCAGATCCTTGTTTGATGACATGAGGAAAACAGAGGGTGAAGGATCGAAGGAAAGACCTTTACAGCCAGCCAAGGCTGGTTTCAACAATTTAAGCGTTGGTATGACTTCACAACATAAAGATGACTGGTGAAGCTGCCAGTTCAGATACAGTTCCTGCGAGACATTCCGCCAACAGCGGAGGAGGAGCAGCGGCGGAGAACTAGTCAGAACAGGAGGAGGAAGAGGCAGCTGCAGAGTCTCAGTGACTCGCCACCCTCCTCCTCTCCACCCCTCACCTCCGCTCCCACCATCCTCCTGCTTTGCTCCACTACCCACCACCTCACTCTACCACCTTAGCCTATCGGTGAGTACCAATACAAACTTAGTACAATACTGTAGTTCTATATACTATTTTCTATAGAAATGGCAATGATTTTCAGTGTATGTAACTTTTTCCATGGGGCAAGGGGCTGAGGCATTAACTCCTGTTTATCTATTTCTTATGGGGAAAATTGATCGCTTAGCACTGCATGCATAGCGTCGCATTTTCAGGGCGTAACCCAGGCGTTAGCGAGGATGCCTGTACAATTGAGTGCAGGTTTGCCCTTAGGACAATTATTTCTTTTACTTTTATCTGTGACAATATGGTATGCGTGTAGTGAGTAAAAATAAATGAAGAAAGTCATGTATACCTGAAAATAGGAGTTGAAAAACAACCATAACACCACACAGCTTGGCCCAGTAGTCTGGTGGTTACAATGATAGGTTTAACCTGGCTACAATGCCATGATTAATCACTATTAAATCCGTAAACACTAATAATAATAGACCCAACCAGAATATGGCAGGGAGCAAAGAGGAGTTTCAAGAGCAGGCGCTTGCTCCCGTAGCCAGGTGTATGATCGAAATACAATTCGTATTAGAAATACATATCGTGTAGTCTAATATGAAAATGGTGATGGGCCCAGTGATAAACAAATTATATAAACCTTACATTTACCTATGATAACATAATAAAAACACCATCATTACTGGGTGAATGAAAGATTATTCCCACAAACAACAATTGACAACTCTGGCGACTCCTTAGCAGTGCCTCTCCGCTCCCTTTTCCGCTCACGGTTTTGGTCTGTTAACTTGCAATAAATGTTTATTCTCAAAAACTTCCACTTCTGTCTCTTCCCTCACCTCTTTCCCAGCCCTTCTTTCACTATTCTGCCCTCCCTTCTCTCTTCCAGGGAATGTGCGAGAAATAGATGGAGGAAGGAATGTGGGAGGAAAAGAAATGGGAGCCAAGTTTCAATGTGCATCTGGATGCAAAATTCAATGTCACCAGACCATTTACACCTATGTGTATACTTATTCCTTATGCTGACTGTACATAAACAAAATTCAAATGTATTAGGGAAACAAAAGGAATATTCACAAACTATAATCAATATTACCTTGATAACAGCAGTCATTATGACAGGCTGTGGATGATTTGCCATCACTATTGCCTGGTCCATATACAGGGCCTCTGTTAATAAGGTTCTGGTAGTGGTGTCAGAAGAATATTTCAGCACTGTTTCCAGCATCTCTAAGACCCCACCACCACCTGTGTGAGGCAGGAAAGATTAACACGACTGGCGCTCTCATCTTCCTCGACTGTTTCATCTTCTTCAGTCTCACGATTTCTTCTGTCCATTTTGTTGACTTTCTAACAGGTTGTTCTTCTGTTTCTGTTCTTTCACTGTCTGTAGAGATTCCACCTCAATCTCTTGACTCACTCGATGTGATACTTTTGTTTCTTTTACACACTTCTCCTGATCTTCTGGTGTGAGTACATCAACTTTACTTGAGAATCCTCTCACATATATCTTCTAGACCCTTATTTCGAGTGAACATCAGCAGGTGTTACTATTGTTGAAATGATTGACTCTCTGTGGTGCACAAACTGGCCGACTACTTGGTCCTCATTACAGATAAAGAACTCTCATTGGTATTACTGGTGGCGTTCTTACTCTCATCCCATCGGTGTTATCTTCTTCCTCCGAGCTCGTACACGTTCTTCACTATGGAACCTTCCTTCTCAACTTCCTTATTATTTCTTCTTTTTGTTCTTGTCTCATCTGTTGCAGTTGAAGGAAGGGGGTTGCTATTGTCAATCACTTGCCAGTGCAGTCTAGGAGGAAGGTTTTAGGTCTGATTTAGTATGGTGACAAAGGGCAGGATTCTTTGATAATGGATAAAAGATAAGAAAATAGAAAAAGTAAAAGGTACAAAACATTTAATCAAGCCTACACTACTTAATACACAATGGAAAGACCAATCTAAGATGAAAATAAAAAGCAACCAAGTAGTGTACAGTATTACAATGGACTCTAAAAATAACAAGATTTCCTCCGATTGCTTTTAAAGAAGGTGACTATTAGAAATATAATAAACTTAAGCTAAAACAACAACAGCTGAGCTAAGCAATAATGAGGATAGCAGACCATACAATATACTGTAATGTGGACAAAGTTGAATATATTCTTTTAAAAGATTATGATATAGGATTAGTGTTCAGCATTCACAACTCATAGGGAATCATATGGTATACTACAGCCATGGACGAAATACAATTAGGTGTTACAGTAATCTACAGTGTTTATTGAGGTTATTCCATGACTGACTCATGATAAAAGTAACATCAACTAAACAAGACTTTAATCAACTAGTGATTATCGTTATTCTCAAGACTGATATCAAAACAACCCTTGTAAAATAGAAGAAAAAATATATAATACAAAAAACACAAGTACTTACCTCAAACTGTGCTAGAGATGAGGTTTTTCCAGGGCAATCCATCAATTCTGCAGCTAAGTCCACCCCAACTGCAATGTATGATCCTGAAAACATCGCACTCATTAATTAGGTGTCCAAAGACATACAGACAGATCAATAGATAGACAGACTATTACATATATTGTACAGGTATGGTACTGTATACCTGGCATCGGTAGAGCATCTGGAATGCTCCAAGCTAGCTATGTTCTGGAACTAATTACTGTACTCACTTTGTATTCAAATGTACTAAGTTAATTAAAAAAAAATTAAATGTCCATTGCAAATTATGGGATGTTTATACTCAAATTTATTTCTATCTTGCAAGAATTTCAATAATGCAAGTTATATTCTGCTAAGTCAAGTCAGTAACATTTTACAAGTGAAAAACTATCCATCTATTTTTTAGATTTTTTTAGGGTGCCCCGAGAATAGTTTATTGGGCACCTTACCTCCTGTGCAAGGTGAATCCAGAGCGTTTACAGCACTCCATCAGGAAGCATGCAGAGTTCATGCTTGCCTTTATGACTCATTAGGGAGTAAAGCCTGAAGGGTCATGGGTTTGTCAGCAAGTTACATAAAGTGACAGGATGATGAGTGTATGGGGGAAAAAAATTCGGTACAATTTATCTGCTTATGGCAAAGTGTGGCAGGTCCCTAATAATGTCAAGTGCCAGGCCTGTCACTAGGAGGAAGGATATCTGGTCAGGAAAGGAAGAAGTTGGTACAATGTGGCTGGGGACCTGTAGGAGGAGGAGGTCATAGGGCAAGTGAGGATGTAGTGGTCAACAGGACTCTCACACCCTCTCGACCAAAAGTTTACAAACAAGATGCGGCCAGGCTCAGGGTTGCCAATGTACTAGGTGGCAGTACAATGGGGTAGAGGTGATATGGTGTGGTGGGACAGGTTGCAGTAGGGTGGAGGGAGGCACATAGGCATTGACAATATTGAGGACATACTTTTAGTGTGATTGTGATGGGCGTGTGCGTTGACATGCCGGATTGAATTAGGGTAGGGGTGGTGTCCTCAGGTCCAATAGGTAGCCCTGGTGGAGCAGCACAGACACAGGAGCAGGTCAGGCTGCGAAGGGTGGAGGAAAGGTTGAGGCACACGTGGCCGGTGAAGATGAGGCAGGACTTGCTCGGGGCAGCAGAACACACCAGGGCAGGCCGGTGGGCGCCAGTAGTGAAGGCGCCAGCGGTGGAGTAGGCCGTGAGCAAGGGACTCACGGGGGACTACCAGCTTATGTCAAACCAGAAGGAGAGGAGTGACTGGGTGGCAACAGAGGGCAAGAGAGTATGGGAGATGGTGGTACAGAGTGTGGAAGAGTTTTTCAATACAGGTTGGTAAATTCTTGGAAGAGGGATATGATCTGTGTCACGTCACTGGAGGGGTTGTGAGGGCACCGGTGGGAGCAAAAGGCCTGACAGCGTGAGGCTGGAGACGAGGGAGAGACCAGTAGTGAGTTGAGTTAGAGATGGCGGGACTGCTGTGTTGCAGCCAGGTGAGCAGGAGCAGGTGTTGTTGAAAGAAGGCGTTGCTGGAGACAGGGCGCAGAGGAGGAGGCGGTGGTAGCCGGACGGGGGGATTATAGTGGCTTGACCTTGGGAGGCTTTTCCCCTGGAACAGGCGGCGGTGGGGCATTGCCGTGAGTCAGCATTGTGCCGGCACGCACAGTTACAACACCTGGGATCAACTACAGGTACTCCTCGACTTCGACCATCCAGACATACCAAAATTTTGTCAAATTCGTATTTTCGAGTCTCGGCGTTAGTGAGTGTGCTATGTACTGACAAAATTTTCATTTGTAATTCCCTTTAAAATGGCTGCAGAAAGCAAAGTAAAGAGTTTGTGGTGCTGAGAAAAATGAACTCATTTTAGATTTCTATGTATTATTTAAGCATTTTCGACTTCTGACCTGAATTTGGGTCCCTACCCGTCATAAGTCGGGGACTGCCTGTACATAGCCCACCACCCCTATTAAGGTGGTCTTTGATTTTCTGGGCACAGGCGGCGGAGTTATGGTTTCGTGAAAAAAGCGACATCTGGGACGATCACGTCGGCAGCAGGCAGTAAAGGTGTGACCCCAATGAGAACAGAAAACACAAATGCAGGTCAGGATGATAGGGTTCTGCATAAAGTGGAGGGAGGATTGGGTTGGCCTCCACAGTGGTTGGGCATTCCTTCCTTCACTTGATAATGACAACAGCTTGTGTAGTCTTCCCCGTAATGTCGACATATATTGATTATACAGTCGGCCCTTGACATATGCGGGTTTAGCATACTGCGGATTGCCCGCGGAATATTCTGTACATTGAAATGGTTAAGTACATTCAAATGAGTGACACGAACACTGCACCGCCCGTTACACACATAATCCGCCACCCGCGCTCCCTCACTCAGTCAGTCTGCGCTGTAACACGCTTGTGTTGACATCAGCATTGTAGTTGCAAAAATATTTACATTTCTGTGAATGCATTATATCAAGCACAGTATGAATAGAATATCACTAATATAACAGTATTTTAACAGCTATTAAAACAAGAGTAACATATCTTCAACATCGGAAGGTTAGGAAAAGTCTTTTGTTTTCATGTAGTTTATCCTAATTTACATTTGAAATACATTACGTTTCAGCAAAACTACAATTTATTTATGAGAATATGGAAAAGTAATATTTTTGCTGAAATGACATTCGTATTACAGTGGAAAGTGGTGAAAAGCAATGACTTTCACTTTCTTTCATTCAAAAGATGTACATGTCGCTTTTGAATGGTTTCAGTTAAAAACTGTTGTACTACAAAAATATTCTATCCTAATTCACGATGCAACAGTTTTTAACTGAAAACCATTGAGCGATTCACGGTAAAATCTTTTGAGCAATGAATCATTGTTTCGTCAGATTTTATCCACTTTCCTATATCGTCGTCATTTCAGCAAAAATATTACATTTCCGTGAATGTAGTATAATCAAGCACAGTATGAATAGAATATCATTGTAATATTAGAGTATTTTAACGAAAACTATTAAAAAAGCAGTAACATCTCTTGAACATCGGAAGGTTGAAGTCTTTTGTTTTAAGCCATGTATTTATCCTATTTTACATTGAAATACATCACGTTTCAGCAAAACTAATATTTATTTCTGAATATATTTATTCAGGTGCAGTTTAGGTAAAATATACATGTGATGTAACAGTTTTTTAACTGAAAGCGATTGAAAAACACATACCCTCTACCCTGTTCAAGGAAGACTGGGAGGAGCTGTTTGGTGCTGAAAGCGATGACAAGGAAAATGATTTTGATGGATTTTTGAAAATATTCAGAAATATGGTATGTGTTATTTATTCAAGTGAATTAGGATAGAATATTACTGTAATACAACAGTAGTGACGATGTGGAGGAGGCGGAGGGATAGGCGGGGAGAGTGGTGGCGCTGGAGGCGGAGCATGGGCGAGTGGAGATGCCAGCCAGTACAGGTGTACAGTATTAATTGTTTTATAGCTCTTTTTGCATTTTAATATTAAATACTGTACATTACGTTTCAACAAATCTACTACAGTGAACCCTCACTTTACGGTCAATTGAACCCACGAGGCCAGCGTAAATAAAATGAACAACATAACATATGGGATTAAATGAAATAGAGACCGGCTGACCCCCAAACTCCACTTTTTCGACACAATACCTATGTTCTAGTAAAAATAACATCTTAATTTTATGATGGTACATGCACACAATTAATACTTAAGAGAAATAGAAATACAATCGCCAAGTTAATGTCCATTCAAATAATGGACTCAAGTCTCCCCTCTTCTCACACTACACTCGCTGGCTCTTCCTCTCTAAAAATTTTTTGGGGAAAACCACTAGATTTTAAGGTATAATAAATAATACCTCAAACTAAAGTTAGGATAATATAATTATTGCTGGATTCCTTGTAAGACCAGGAATATTTTGAATATAATTGTCATATATTTTTGCACAAAAGATAACATATTTACTCAGAGTAAACAAAATACTTACATTAGATCTAAAATTTGTATGTCTAATGCAAAATCTATGATGTTTATATTCAAAATGATCAACAAATTGCAAGAATTCCAGCAATGTAAATTATATTCTGGCAGGAAGTAATTTGTATGAATTTTTGAGCTAAAACAAATATCTTCAGTTAATAAAAAAAATAATAATCTTCACAACACTATCTGTCAATCAAGTACCCCACCTTGCCTCCCCTCTTCCATGGCAAGATGGTCGGTCGGTCCCTCCCTCCCCCAGCCCCACCAACCCTCCTACCAGATAAATGTTTGGGAGAAAGAATATTTACCTTTTAGTAATAAATAATACCTCAGAGTAAAGTTAGGATAATATAATTGACATTGCTGGATTCCTTGCAAGACCAGGAATATTTTGAATATACACTTCATATATTTTGCAAAAAGATAACATATTGCTCTGAGTAAACAAAATACTTGCATTAGATCTAAAATTTGTATGTCTAATGCAAAATCTAAATACTTATTATTCAAAATGATCTTCAAATTGTAAGAATTCCAGCAATGTAAATTATATTCTGGCCAGATAATTTGTATGAATTTTTATGAGGCTAAATAAAAAATTATACTTCACCCGCGTAAAGGGTGCTGCGATGGAATGTGAGCATCGGGTTCGGCAGGAGTACCGTAGCGATGAAGCGGGGAATGTGGGACCGTAAAGTGAGGTTGACTGTATTTATTTCTGAGAATGTGGAAATGTAATATTTTTGCTGAAATTACGTATGTTTTACAGTGGAAAGTTTGATAAAATTGTGACAAAAGCAATGACTTTCGCTTTCTTTACGTTCAAAGATGTTACCTGTCGCTTTTGAATGGTTTTCGTTGTGGGATTATAAGGCTAATGATAGGATAGAATATTATTGTAATACAGTACACAGTTTTTTAACTGAAAACCATACGAAAAGCTATTTGCGTAAAATCTTTGAACCTCGGCAGTCATGTTTTCGTCATGATTTTATCCCTTTCTGAGAATATATTCATTCAGTCACAGTTAAGGTAAAATATACTTGTGATGTAATATTTTAATAATATGGTATCGTGGTTTTCTTTTGTTCCATTAATTAACAAAGATTGATGTTTCAATGTAATGAACAAAAATTATATTAGTATCCATAAATAAACTATAAAAAATGAATACTTTATGTTTTACATAGTCTGTGCTACCATACCATGCATTTGGCTACTTTGGGCTTGCTATGATGGCCTTAAGAGATCTGCCCTGGCAACTGTACCGACACTCACAGCTGGTGGTGCGTTGTTTCCATATTTACTGGTAGTTACTGTATGGTAAATATTTTCCCTTCTTGAAACTATTACCCGTTTAGAGTTAGGCCCAATTTTTTGCCAAATAATTTGGTCTTAAAACTTGAACTACACAGGTATATCAGTAAATAAGGATATGGGGGGCCAGGGTTTTTAGGGGAGAGGTGGGGGCAGCAAAATACGGTTTTTAACATTCAGAGGTATCTCTGTTACCTAACAGCGTATGTTAGGGCCGACTGTACTAAATTAAAGTCACTGCACCTTTAATGTCAGCATATGGAAACGTTTCAATAGGATGTGGTAACATTCATCAGAGTCTATGGGGGCCACCAGGACAACCCCGTCAAAACAATAGTACTAAGTGATTCATAAACCTCAGGAGTCTGAAACTTGATAAAGTTCCGGTTCTTACAGCAGGAATTGAATGTTGAGAAAGTGCTGTCAGCAGTACTTCATCATCAATTAAGCATTCCTCTACATTTTAGTGAGTCCTTAGGGAAATGTAGATTTAGTTTACTTGGCTGGGTGAGAGGGCAGGAGTGATAGGGTCCGTGGCATTGGTGTTTCCACTCGGCTAGTGTTTCCCATAGAAACATTACCGTCACTGTCATAATCACTGGGGTCTGACTCTTGAAGGGTGTTGGATTCAGTATGAACAGGCGAGTTGGCGATGGCATCCGTATCAGAGATGTCTCGTCCATAGAGGCCTCTTCTGGGATGTTTATGTCGGCCCCCATGCTGGCAAATCTTGCCCGCTGAGGAACCTTTGTGGGGCGATCGGAAGTCATGAGCACCATGGGCATATCTGTCCCCTATGTGGTCACGCCACACTCTGGTTTCCCTTCAAAGCGCATAAATCTTTCGCCATTTTACTCCCTCGATTGTATAATTTATTCCGAGTCCTGACCCATCTCCCTCCACTGACAACTACAGGTAATCTCCCCTCCTGGCTGTTAACACCTTGCCTTCCCTCCCTCCTCCCTCCCCCCCAGCCAGCAGGTGATAACGATTTTATAGGATGAGGGTTGTGTTAGGCTTAAAAATGTCAATGTCAGACTAAACTTAGCAGAATATAACTTGCATTGATGGGATCCTTGCAAGATGGTGATTAATTTGAGTATAAACATCTGATAGTTTGCACAAGATATAAAAAATTTAGTCCTTTAGCTTAGTACATTTAAGTACAATGAGTACAGTATATTCAATGGAATTTTTATAAATATATATATTATTAATATCATAATCATGTCTGTGTTGGTCAGACACTACATATGTTGTGGGGTTAGGTCCACAGCACATTCACCTTTAACAAACAGTTTAAACATCCATTTCATAGCACTGCTCATGGTTTTGTATTTCTTCTTCTCAACACTATTATCACTACCTTGATGGGCACGGAAGCCATATCAATGAGTTACTGACCAGCTCACACACTGTGGAAGTTTTAACCCTTAGCCCGGGTTAGGGTGCTGCTGGCAATCCCTTGTGAGGTTCCTTCGAGAAAAAAATCCCCAAAAAGGCGGGAGAAAATTGACAGACGTTCTGGAAAGTCACCGGGGCCTAAGGGTTAGGAAGACGAGAAGATGCTAGGGGATGCCAAGATGCTCCATGAGAGGCGTAGTGCTGCAAGAAATGAGGACATATTCTGTGCCATACAAAGCAGTCATGCTAGGTGACATAACGAAGTCGGGTAGATCATAAAACAACGTTATAAAAATCATGGGTAACTAAAAAGTAACAGCGTTATAACAAAACAACGTTGCCTGGGACAACACTAAGTGAGCACTTGCTGTGCAGTATATGTTATGTCAGGTTAGTTTTTAATTTGTAATTTTGGTCAGGTACTGTATATGGAATTTTCTTCCATTTTGTTTTACTCAGTTACCTACACAAACAATGTAACATAGAACAAGTGAAAAAAAAAGGAATACCTGGTAATTACAATACAACAAAGTATTTTCAACTCAAAATTTCAGGTAGATTTATGTAATTTTCTTAATTTTTTTACTAAAGTTGCATACACACACAACCTTACATACAGAAAGTTAAAAAAAATTAAATAAATAATTACCATAAGGTTTAAAGTTTTTTATCTGTGTGGTTTCCACCATGAAGCTGTGTGGTGAGTGTGGACGAGGTTGGAGCTCCATGGGAGAGCACCATTAGTCTGGAAGCTGCTGGTTGTTAAGATGAGCACCAGGGGTGACTGTGATGCAGTTTATACACTAACTTGTAAGGCTTTTGTTATTACTGTTTATATTCCAACAATTTTAAGTTTTAACATTACAATGTACAGTTGAAGCTACTTTTAGGGGTGAGTCTAGTGATCTGAAAAGTCCTCAGAGCCAGTTACAGAGGATTTACTGCACTTCAGTTTAGACCTGGTGCTCCAAAATCTGAAACAATCAACACCCAAATCCCAAGTATGCCGGATAAATGGTCCCATACTTGTACATAGACAGGTGAACCTGTTTTATTCAGAGGGCTTATTAGATATACACTTACCTGGTTTATTACTGGTAGATGTAGGGATGTGAAGGTAATAGGCTGTGTTTGTTCAGTTGCAGCATAGGTGAGATTGGCTGGATGTGCCAGTAGCAGAAAACCGTACACAGCATGCGTCATTACGCACAACTGGAGGCTATCCCAAAAGATGTAATACCTGTTGGGAAAGAAACAAAACAATTACTCTGTGTTTTGTATGACCTGTGGACTCAAATTGCTTCAAGAATCAGAAGCAAAGTTTCTGTTATCTAAGTAGCAATTAATGATCAATGATGTTCTTATACAGTGGTTTATTAACGACGGTTCGATTAACGAAATATCGGTTAACGAATTACCTCCCATAAGGATCTTCAATTCGGTCAATGAACAAAACTTTGATTAACGAAATCCTACGAACAACACGTTTGTGGGCATCAGCTGATCAGCTGATGGGCTAGTCTGCCAATTCAGTAATCTGTTTATGTTTACATTCGTTTCCAGTGGAGTAAATATCAAGAAAATTGTTCTCTTTAATATTTTTTATTTCTTATACAGGAAATTATTAGTCATTATAAAATTTAGTTAACATATTGATAATAGATGCAGTACAATGAACTAGTTTTTGTCGCCCATCAGCTGCTTGACTCAGCCACCAGGCGTCAGTGCGGCCTCAGTTGACAGTGGAGTGAACATCTGTTTTGTTGGTGTCTTGAATATTTATGCATTTTTACATTGAAATTATTGGTCATTCTGAAATTTAGTCAACATATTGGTAATATATAGATCAGTGTAGTGTTGATTTAAATAAAATATATTGAATTACACCTATTGAACTTAAAATTTTATTGGTGAAATGGCGGCATCAAGCATGGGTCCCCTGAAAGGTGATTTCTCCTCCATCCCCACTTCCTTCTCTTCTCCTTCTCCTCCACCCCCCCTTCTAATTCATCATCATCATCATCAACCAGGAACCTTCTACATACACACCTCAAAGTAAGTGTACTTTACTGCATTTTTTTACTTTGTATGTACTTTTCTGTGAGCTGGAACCAATTCAATATCCCATTGAAACAATGGATTAGGTTAACAAAATTTCAGTTAACCTAACGACTCTGTGAAACGACTTGTGTTCGTTAACCGAGGGACCACTGTTTATCCAAACCAGAGAACCAGATAATAAATAGTCATAGATGTGTCTTAGATGTTGTGAGAAACTTGTGTAAATTTAAATATGAAAATAGGAATACAATTTGGTCAATGTGTAGAGTATATGTTTTGGTCTATGATGCTCGCCCAGGATTACTATGTTATTATTCTTTTTTCTTATTAGTTCTGATTAAGAGAGTGATTTACTGTTTAGGTTCAAAATTTGGATAACAGTATAGAAGACATAGTTTACTCTGCTAAGATGTGGTGCAGCTATGGGTGTGGTAATACTGCCTAAGGGTGTGGTTATACTGCCTAAGGGTGTGGTTATACTGCCTAAGGGTGTGGTTATGCTGCTTAAGGGTGTGGTTATACTGCCTAAGGGTGGTTATCCTGCTTAAGGGTGTGGTTACACTGCCTAAGGGTGTTGTTATACTGCTTAAGGGTGTGGTTATACTGCCTAAGGTGTTGTTATACTGCTTAAGGGTGTGGTTATACTGCCTAAGGTGTGGTTATCCTGCCTAAGGTGCTGTTATACTGCTTAAAGGTGTGGTTATACTGCCTAAGGTGTGGTTATCCTGCCTAAGGGTGTGGTTATACTGCCTAAGGGTGTGGTTAAACTCCATTTAACAACTCTAGCTGGATTTTTGTTAAATACTAACTTTAATTCTAGAAATCAGACTTGTCTTTAGAATCATCAACACAATCTACTGTACAGTCTTCTATAATACACATCACACAATATTACATGACAGGACAGAGAGCAGACAATGATGTTCATACTTAAGTCTCTGTGGTGACCCTAGCAACTGTCACTCACCAGTAGAGTGGTTGTCATGCCAATTGCTGAAGGTACAGAACAGAATCCAGATGAATAGGATTCCTGGGCAGACAACCCCAAGCCAACGTTCCTCCAAGAGATTGGTCCTGGTCCACCTACAAGTCCAGTTACCACACTCACCACAAGGTCTGCTGAGCAAATACAGTCAAGGGACCCCGCTGTTAATTCCAGTTCCTGAAAAATAATCCACAAATACATTCTGTTTCATAATACAAATACAGTGAAAAATATTTCATATACAGTAAGATCTACGTTAGCTAGAATCCTCAAACACAGAACTCTCCGATAGCGGAATTGAAGTTTTTTGGGATCGTTTCCCAAAGCTGGAATTTTCCAGAAAATTCCGGCTTTGGGAACGATTTTCCGAGGGCATATCTTCTGAAAATTCCAAGAACATTTTCCCAGTATGTACCTGGAAACCGGGATGGGGGAATTTTTTCGGGTTTGAGAGAAGAAAATCAGATGCATTTTCCGTAAATTCCTAGAAAAATTTTCCGGTACCCCAAAAATTCCGGGATGTGGGAATTTTTTCCAGGTTTGAGAGATGAAATAATGCATCATTCGGAACTTCAGAACATTTTCCGTTACAGAAAATTCCGGAAAATTCGGGATGGGTGATTTTCCGGCTTTGAGAGAGTCGTCGTTACCAAATCTCTCATTCCCGGAAGAGCTCTGCACCAATTGTTCCGGCTAACAGAGATATCACTATCTGTACTTCCGATCTCAGTGCTTTATCCAACAACACTTATATTTGAAGACTCATTACAAATAGATAGCGGAGTTTTACAAATATCCAAACTGATTTTGCCTGGTCTGATAAAAGAGCAATGGATTGTGTTGCCTCTCAACAATTAATAAGTCCAGAATATACCCCATTGTACAACTGCGATAAAACTACAAAAACATAAGTTAGACTATTTTACTTAATTGTAAATCAATGTCGAAGCCAAAGGATCCACCACATGCTGTATACTTCAAATCTGAATCTGCATAACCAAGTTGAAGATATGAGCAAATATGAGGATGCGTGTACCTATTGTAACTCTCCAGTCATTTTATACACTTGACTCACCCTACACAAAGTGGAACAGGAATACATATAAGACTGATGATATTTACATAGAGTAATAATGCTTACCTTGCACATAAAGAGGATTTTGTCAAGAGCATCAATGTCTCTCAGCTGTGATAAGTTGAAGTCTCTGTATGGCTGATTTTCTGCTAACAAAACCTTCAGGACAGATAACATTATACCAAGTACAGTAATTCGTTCACCATTCGTTAACACAGTATCTGAAACAATAATTTTGAGTCAGGATGATTCAAACTTTTCCAAACTTGATGATGGTGGTGATGATAGTAATAATGATGATGATGATGATGATGATGATGATAATGATGGTGATGATAGTGGTGATGATAGTGATGATGCAGGGAGGCCAGTATTTTGAATATACACATACTCCATTTGTTGTCATTCATCCTCTAAATACGATCACTACTATATTCTGTCGTGGTGTTCCCCTGCTACAACAACTACCTCCCCAAGATATCCACTTCATTTCTTCCTGGTCTATTCATGCACACTGCTGCTTCCTATATGCTCATCACCCTCATATCTAGTGCCATTCTCATTCCACCCTCTCATCTGCAACTCTTATTCCAAATGAGTAACTAGAAACAATCACCACCTTCCACTTGCATTCATCTTCCTTTATCAACCAATCTTAAGATCTTCTCCATCATTTTTGTTGCCTCATTTCAACACACCACAAATTATTTGATTCTGACAAACTGTGTGCCTGTGTTGTCGTACACGTAATTCTAGCTTTGTACACATATTTACAATTAATCAATCTTTAAATATCTGATAAACACAACAATCTTTTCTTTTTTTTTCATTCTTACAAACTATTTTCTTCTCTGTAAAACTTCAATCTAATATGTTAATATGTGCTACATTCCAATGTTTACCTATTATTCCAATTACTGAAATCTTGATGGTTCTCTTAAACATATATATATGAAGTAGACATAAACACCCTGCTTGCTTTAATGCTGGAGAAAGTAAGAAACTAAAACAATGAGAGAGAAGTATTTACTTGGTAGTCTGATGCCTTGAGAAATCATCAAGGAAAGTCCTCCAGTTACATATGAGAGAATTCATGAGGTCTCGATCCACTAATATAGCTGGTACATGTGGGGCGATGGTGTAAACATCCCTACAAGCCAGGTACTGAACAACACTGGGATACGTACACCCATCCAAGAGAGCCTGGAAACAAGACCATTTATGAGGTATGTCACTGTTAATCTTGGTACAGTAATTGTTGCCTATAACTCTCAAAGATGAAGTTATAATAATTTACCTAAATTACCAGGAACATACCTATAACAGTGTGAACAATGGAGCCATCAGACCTGAGATTTGGGTTTGAAAAAAATAGAAAAAAGATTCTGATGTGCACGATAATGAGGTCTATGTAAAAAGAATAAAGAGGTAAATGAAGACTACAGATGAAATACTTATACAATGATAAAAGAATGAACTGAGGCCCAACAAACTGTACAAAAGCCAGTATTTATGACGGCGATAAAGAGCAAAGTACCAACAAACAGCATCTCTGGAAACTGGAGTTAATTCTGAAGACTGTGAATACCTTTATAAGATACTACACTACATAACTGACCAGAGAATATTATTATCAAAGGAGGATTTAAACAGAATCTCCTTATTTCTAATACTGTATAGTAAAGGATTCATTGAGTGACCAAGGCTGACTAAAATAATCAATATCCACAGAATAACATGATGAAGAAATGTTAATAAATTGCTTCAGTAGAGCATTAGGGAATCTTGCATAGAATATTTACCCCAAATAATGAAAAAGAAACTTATGATAATTTGCATTACATACAGTATAAGGAAATAAGGTGTGTTAAGTGAATTAATATTAAAGCCAATGTATTATCTCTTTAGTCTATCAAATCCCAAACAAATACATATGACAAACATTAATGGAGTAAAAAAAAATAATAATAACAACATTTACCCTAATAAACTCTGATGTGTTTTTAAATACGATATACTGTATTACAGAGCATTAATTACTCCTAACCAATATCTTGTATGGTGTGGGTCAAGGATGCAGGAACCTCAATAGGGAAGGGTAGAGGAGAGGTACAGTGCAAGTAAAAGTAGCTGAAATAACAAGTAGGACAGAATATTCTCAACATACAGTACTTCCTCATATCCTCAACTCATATAGTATTAACAGTAGAATCTCAAACAACACCATGATTTACAACCTTCATCATAATACTCCACCTACCTTTATAACCTGGACACCTGGACATGATGACAGACATGAGAATGCGAATATGGAGGAGCTGCCACGATTCTCATACTGGGCAGCCAACTGGGGTGACGTGGTGGACACAGTGCACAAGAAGCCCAGAGCCACCGCCTGTTCGGCCTCCTCACATTTCAGTTCAACTAGCTGTCAGTGCAAATGTAATACAGGTATACATCACTATTTTTATCTTCTAAATACCCATAAAAATTTTCAAAATAATGAGTCAAAGCCACTAATTAATGTTCTTGAGGAATATTTGGTAGCTCATCCTTCTCACATGTTAAAATGGAAAAACCTACATTAATTCCTCAAACTATAATTCTCTTGCCTTAGGAAGTCCAACTCTTTACATACTGTACATCTTTAAGTCTTTTAAACTCCTCCTACTACTGTAATATCCACATACAACTGCATCCCCAACTTCCAATCCTCTCTATCCTATTCCAAGTTCCTAACAGTAAGACCTCCCTCACCATCCCATATAATGACACATCTTTATTATTATATTCTAACTTCAATTCAAACCATCAAAAGTTCTTAGTTACTTCTTCCACCTGGCTCAACTCAGCCTAAACCATTTGTTATTATCAAAACCTCTCTATCACTACACTTCAATATGTACTGTATATCGCCACTTCCTTCACCATTAAAATGTTTTGCTGCTTGGGTCACTCTATATGTTATCAACACTCACTACATCTTCAAGTATTGATTCCTTTACAGTTAATGTATCTATAAGTTTTAATTATTACTCACCCTTAGCAAAGAGGTAGACAATATGGGCTATGCCTCCCATCTGCAGGAGAGCTACATCAGAACCCTGGCTCTTCAAAGGAGTCAGTGCACCAAACAATACTGAAGTCTGTGTTGTAAGATGGATAACAATTTCCAGTGTCTGTAAGAAAACGACAGGTATAATTTTATCTTGTATCTTGAGCTTTTCTTGTCATATGTACAGTAGCTAAACAATTATCTGTGCAGGTGGGGGTCGATATGCTCGAAATTTATGTGTGACTAGTGACAGCCCTCATATACCAAAATTTATTGTCCATGGTCTCATATTGTTTCCTCACAAAGTATGCACAGATAGTTGTTTTAGATGCTGTACCTTCAATTTAATTTACTATAAACACTAATTCTTTTAACCACACACTATTAAATTACTGTGATGTATATATTTCTTCAGTCAACTGTAAACATTTTAAGATACAAAGTATATCTTATGATACAGACCTTGGAGTGTTGGCATGTGTGGTTATAACAGAGGAACTCCGATGGTCGCTGAGCTGTGTGGAGAAGCAGGAGAGTTTCTTGTGCTGGTCTTATGGCTGACTTCATATGACCATATAAAACAGAGAGATCCATCCCTGCTGTTAAAAGCTTTGGTGTAATGAATGGAGTCATCAAACCTTCTCATCCTTGTCTGTCAGGGGTAAGAGACTAGTACAATCTTTACCAAGAGCAATCATGTAAAGGCACAGTTCTCGCCCAGGATGGGTTCGAAGAGGAAGGTGTTACCCATCAAGAGCTTATGAATGGCTGTAACAAAGACTACCTCTTCGGTCCTGTGAAGGTTGAATGGATCTAAATCATCCACTGAGTGACATGGCTGAGGTTCCTGTAATATTCAAACAATATCATATTTAAATGCCAGTACATAATAATCTTGTTAACATTCACGCTTTTGCATAAGTTTGGAAAAGCTATAGTTTGATTGCATTGAAACCAACACAATAATATATAAATTCGTATCTGACATTATTTTTTTGTTTTATGTCTGTTGACGATCAATAAGTAAAATTACCAGAAAGACCCATATTTTCAGTATAAAAATAAAAATAATGACTGTAGTTGTTTTAAGTCACAATAACACTTTAAATTACTCCGCTGGAGAAATAATCAGTGTGACCAAGAAGAAGGTAAGATGGAGAACTTTCTGATGGAGCCCACAGCTGGCACCGAACATTGACCGAGTGACAGGTCAGAGTCTACAAAATTGTTACCTGAAAATAAAAATTTCATTATTTTTTACCTATGTAAACCTTTCACATTCAATACTAACAATAAATATTTCATAGTACTGTGTTGCCCATTACACCAAAAACCTCAGTGCCACTAAGCAAAGTCTATTCATATAAGCCGGGTTTAACCACTGACAAAATTATCATGCCTGCTGCTGACCCCCAGTGGATATGTTTTCTGTTTATTACGGACACATTTTTTAAACAAATTTGACATTTTCATATTTGTTTGAAAAGAAAATCACTGAAGTCTTTAGACAAATGATGAGCTATAAATGAAGTACTGAGGCACCACAAAGCAACTAAATGTATAAATCTTTGTGTGTGAACATTACTGCAGCACACCCAGCCAACAACTGGCCTCCCTGAAATATGATAGATGGAGCTTAACATTTAAATGACAGCCATCAGCAGTGGGAGTTAGCTGTAGGATGACAGCCAATCAGTGGACATTTCATACCTACAGTTTTGCAACATACTGTATAGGGGTGAGGGGAATCCTCAGCTGCCAGTTAGGGGTTAAGTACCCTGGCTTCTTGTGAGGCCTATACTTAACAATCTTCTTTAGAAACAATAACAGTACAATTAACATAAGTTAGAAGAACCACAGGTAAGTCACTGTCCATAAGCAGTGAAATGTTTAATACATCATCACAAAGATCAAGGCACCAACATGTACGGTATACAATATAAGCCACAACTCTACAGTCCCTGGCGTTTCTTCCTTATTTACAACTATCTTGGTTGTCTACAAAAAAGGGCTAAATGATAACAATATATTTTATTTTTTTTTGTATTCTGGGTTTTTGTTTGAGATGGATCAGGAGGCAATGCCCCACCACCACCACAAAAAGGAGGACATATAGATTGGGAGAAAGATGTATAACAAGTGAAGACAGCGATGGGGAAATTGATGCAGAATGATTCTGGGTTTGAGATATTTCCAGGTACAATATTGAAACAAATTTTCTTATCCCTGGAAGAAATTGCACATCACCGGGATTTTTCCGGGCACTGGTGAATGTTTCCATGTCTAAATTCACGCATCTCACGGAGCACTACTGCAATGGAGGCTTAATTGCAGTCAGACAGACACAGAGCTGTATTTATTATGCAAACACAATACAGAGGGCCCAAATTCACGGGGATTAGGTTCTCAAGATGGCCGCGATTGGGGAGTTTACATTTTTACTTGTGTATAATGAAATGTATATTCCCTTTATGTGTTTGCCCTAGAACAATTATTTCTTTTACCTGTATTGTATATATAGAGTGTGTGTAGACACACACACACCAAACACATTACAAATAAATAATAATGGGAAAATACTCTCACAAATAATCAGAAACAAATTTATTAAAATGTAACAATCTAACCTCAAGTCTGTGCTTTTATTAATTATGAATAAAGCACGGACTTTGGTAGACCCTTGCCACAAAATTGTGACCAAGTCCCAGGTTGTTGATCTGACTTTCGTTCATTTACACACTAATTGAAGGTCTCAATTGTTACTCTTACTATTGACAACACAACATAACCTGTACATATATTGTTTCTCACTATTGATCTTTTTTTCATTTTTGTATTTCTTTATGGTTCTTTATTATTAATATTATTATTCAATTTCAATTTCAATTTCAATTGTTTATTCCTTGATAGAGGAAGCGATCTTAGTGCCACTAGTACCCCTGTACAATAACACCAGAATCATCTGGCAAGTGTAGTGTATATACAGTATAAATATTATAAAGGGGCTTACTAAAGCCTAAGGAAGGAAGGATGTCTTTAACACATAATTAATATTATTTACAAAATATCTGGCCAGTATTGGGAGGATCATCGTGGTTCCGTCAGGGGTCGGGAGTGGTGGTCCAGCAGGCGCCACGGAAGCGCGTTGGTGTGGGGACATCTTAGGAGGTAGTGGATAAGGGTGCGGCTGTCGGGTCTTCTGCATACGCACAAGAGCGTTGCTCAGGGATGGGATACCAATCTCCCAAGCAAAGTCATACCCGATGATGATACGGGCAGCAATCACGTCCCCTTCCGCCGACCTTTCCTTAGGCGTCGAGAAGTCAGGAAGTTTACGGAGGACATCGCACTACGTGGGCGGGAGTCAGGGGATGGCTGCTTCCGAGCTTCTTCTGTTTGCGGCGGATTTGGGTCCTAATCTGTAAGAGTGTTAGAACAACGTAGTCAGGTGTGGCCTTGTTGCAGCCAGTCTTGGCAAGGTCATCTGCTGCCTCATTCCCCAAGATACCGACATGACTAGGTATCCATAGGAATGTCACAGGACGGCCTTCATCCTGAAGTGTGGATGTTAACCCTCGTATTGGAGGATGAGGTCCTTATTTTTCCCCAGATCCAAATGCGATCCGTCGAGAGGCAGCCTGGAATCGCAGACAAGCAAGGGCAGAAACCATCTGCTTCTTCCTCAGCGGAGAAGGGCAGCAAGGAGGGCTATTAGTTCAGCCTGAGTGGAGGATGCCCGTCCAGAAACTCTGAGAGACAGTTTGATAGGCTCAGCATGAGAGGCGCGGGAGATGTAGACACCAGCCCGGCCCTACCTGTAGCGGGTCAACAGAACCATCAGTGTAGAGGACGACCCTACCTGGGGACCAGTGGCGATCCTGGAGAGGTGGTATTTGCAGAGAATAACAGGGTTCACCTGGGATTTCGAGCGGGTCCACCGAGGGCAATCACTTCAGGTTGAAAATCCAGCCAGGGAGAAGGAGACGAACCAACAGCAGGGGTGACAACAATATCAGGCAGGAGGTCGTGGTCCTGAAGGGCTCGGATGAGTGACCTCGCCACTGTCTTCTAGATGGAGGTCGGTCTCGGACAGCAGTAGTCAAGTTGGTTTGGACATGGAGGCCCTAGGATCCGTGAGAATGGAAGCGCAGTTTTAGGTAAAACCCTGGACACGATCCTGTAAGGGGAAAGACCAAGTTCGGTATATAGAAGTAGAGCGTCCACTGAGGAGCCCCAAGGATGATCTGAGCAGCTTTCCTCTGGATAACTTGAGACGGTTGACAGCAGTCCGACTAATGTTGGCGAGAGGGGGCGTGCGAGTCGGCACAGGTGCGGACAAAAGACTTGTACATGGTGAGAAGTACAGGATGCTGGCACCAAGGGAACCCTGCACATGGTAGAGGGGAGCAGACGCCGAAAACATATGTCTCGAAGATAACGGACTTCAGATCTGACAACGTGTGCGAAGTTACACACACCCAGGTATTTTGTCTCATTGACCAGTCCAAGGGCTTCCTTGATAAGAAAAGGGTGGGCTAATCCGTAAAAAAAATGTATACAGTGGTCCCTCGTTAACGAACACAATTGTTCCACAGAGTCGTTTCGTTAACCAATCCATTATTTCAATGGGATGTTGGGTAATTGGTTCCAGCTCACAGAAAAATACATACATACAAAGTAAAGCCAAAAATACATAAAGTCAGAAACACCTAAAATTCCCTAAATTGCCCTTAATCACTACATATACACCTTACTCCTAAATCACTACTGTAATGTGATACAGGTGATTAATTTTTATCTCTTGCAAAATATATGGCGTTTATATTCAAATTATTCACTGTCTTGCAAGGATTCCAGCAATGCAAATTATATTCTCCTAACTTTAGTCTGTGATATTATATAAAATAAAAACTTAAAAGCCTACTGAAAACACCAAACCTTTGTTGGGGGGTGGGGGGGTAGGGAGGGAGGGTGACAGTGACATGTTTGACAGTTGGCGCCTGTGGTGTGAAGTATTTGCAGTGGTCCTCGGTTAACGAGCACAATCCGTTCCAGCAGGTTGCTCAACCTAAAAACCTCATAACTAAAAAACCATTGTTTCAATGGGTTTTTGGGTAGTGGTTCCAGCTCAACGAAAATTGCCTAAATTCAACAAAAAAGGTAAAAAGTACACTTACTTTGAGGTGTGTATGTAGAAGGCTCCTGGATGATGATGATGATGGGAATTAAAATGGGGTGGAGGAGAAGAAGAAGAAGGCATTGGGGTGGAGAAGTCACCCCATGGCGCCATTCACCATAAAATTTTAGCTCTCTTGGTGTAATTCAAGATTATTTTCTTTAAATCAACACTGCACTGCATTATATATTGTCAATATGTAAAATATATTTCAAAATGACCAATAATTTGGCGGAAACACAGAAAAAAAAGCATTTAGTTGAAGAGGAGTCTCAGCAAGATGTTATATCTCCTGAAAACAGAGACTAATGCCTGTCTGGTGTGTTAACAGGTTGGATGCACGCCAGAAACTAGTTTCTTTTACCTTCAATTATGTTCAATAATTGTTAAAATGACTAAAAAGTTAATATTAAACTTTTAAAATTATTGAATACAGTCAACCCTAAGCTTCAGCGGTCCCATTCCTTTTTCACGTTTCGTGGTACCCTGCCGAGCGGAATGCTCACATTGTCAGATGCGTGCCCTTTCTGGCAGGCCGAGCAAGTGCGCACAAATTAAGCCAGTCATCAAAACATTACGAGTTCTTCACCCACCACAGCGGCCCAAGTCAGTGATAATTATAGTGAGGATATGGACTTATATGGACTTTGAGGGTTTGACAAAGAGG